CACACTGTAGTTTTGCCAGCCACCTTGAGGGCAGTCTGATGTGATGCAATGCTCTAAGGGAAATGCTTCATCTTCCCATTTTCTTCTCATAGCTAGTTTTCCTATCAGAAATGACAATTAAGTGTAAGGTGCCAAAAGCATAAGCAATCATTAAGACAAGAGAATAACCTTGAACTGAGTCCAAAATATACAGTGACTAATGGGAAGTCCTAAGTAAATCTGCTAAACAGAGCGGATAAAACATACTGTATTTCCAGTAGTTTACAAAATACAGCTGCTGCATCATCTTACTAAAGTATATTTTTACAATTTTCACAGGAATAGGGGGGCCAGACCAAATTTTTAATGTTAGTTTTTTAAGTCATTTACACAATTGAGCTGACATGAAGGTGATCAACCCTTAAGTAGACAGGAGGAAAAATAAAAAGTTCCTTGAGAACCATAGAAACAAATCCTCATATCCATGTTCATTTTCTGTTTACCTCTACCATGAATTTTATCATTCTGCCAAATTCAACTATTTTTTTAGAATAGCTGGTTACACAAGCAAGTATGCTATGTGTTAGCAATCAATTCTTTCACTTCTTCATAGGAAATAATCCTGAAACGGGCAGCTGACATTGCTGAAGCATTATACAGTGTGCCACGCAATCACAATCAGATTCCTACTCTTGCCAACACTCCAGCTCACACTGGCATGATGGGAGTGAACTCATTTAGCAGCCAGCTAGCAGTTAATGTTTCAGAAACATCACAAGCTAATGACCAAGGTATGTGCAGTTTCAAGAGTTCATCCTTCATGTTGTTGGCTATTTTTAGACCATGTCTATTAATATTAGCAGATGCTATCACTATGCTCTACCTTCCTCCTTCCCCTCTCTTGTTATATGTTTGAGCATGTAATAAAGGACAGTCTTTAAATACCCGATACAATTAAATTTTTCCCTTTCTAATGGTTTTGGTTATCACAAAGAATCTCCAGTGAGAAGACTTATATCAAATGCAGGAAGACATAAAAGTTCTTTATTATTCATGTTTAGCTATGTAATGTATATATTTATTACTAATTAACTATGCCTGGGTATCCTCTACATGCTTATTGAGCATTTACATAGATAAATCTAATTTATCATCTGTGATTTTTTAAATATGTCATGAACATGATTATGCTTTATACAAGTATATATAATTAATATATAAAAACCGAATTTAATTTCTTTAAAATATTTTTATTTAACATGCCTATAGAAAATTGTATTTTAAATTAAGTTTGATATTACGAGAGGAGTATGAGCATATTAGTAATTACGTTCAAGCCATAAACTTTGCTTACAACGTAATTAGTAAATTGATTGCTCAGATGAGAGTAAATCCACCTTCTGTTGTTTAAAATCCTGATTTTTCTTTGTCTTTGCTTGCATCTTTTAATGCACGTCAAAGCTACAAGCCTCATAAACGTTTTTCACCTTGGTCCTGGTTAGTTTCACTGAAGAATACACCTTATGAAAGTGCTAGCTTTTTGTTAGTATAAAAATATCAATCATAAAAATGAAGACCCCCAAAACAGCCTTTTAAAGTGAAATCACTGCAACAAACAAGTTTTTTCTTGTCAGCTGTGGCATTTGAAGGTCTGGAGAGGCTGAAAGTTCATCCAGTATGTTGGTACAAACCAGGAATCAAGCCTGTTGATAATTGCTACTAAAGACAAATGTGAAGGAAACTGACACACTTGGATCGAAGAGAGCTTTTGTTGCCTGTCTATGCTAGGAGGAGAGACAACATAGAGTGCTCGCAGATGATTTAAGTAGGGTTGGCGTGATAAGGTTATCTTAAACTGCAGGAGTTGATAGGGCAGTAACAGACAACTTAGAGCAAAGCTGTGCAATCAATTAAAACTGTGTAATATATGATGCATGAGGAAACCCCCCAGCCCTAAGTTTATATTATAAAATAACATTATTTTTCCGGGGTGGGGGGGTTTCTAACACAGTAGGTTACAGTCGCAACACAAGCAGTGTTTCCCCGCGAGGATATGTTCCGAGCAGTACTCCTCAGCAGTCCAATTACAACACAGTCAGCAATAGCATGAATGGATATGGCAATGCCGGCATGCCCAATCTAGGTGTACCAGGTTCCCCTGGATTTCTTAATGGCTCCTCAGCTAACTCTCCTTATGGCAGTAAGTGTTTATTTTTGGTAACACATCATCATATAGATTCATATATAGTACAAAATCAAATACTTGCATTGTTTTGATTTTCTATAATGTCAGCTACTGGATAAAAGGAGGGGTGACTCTGGAGGCTGGACGTAAAAATGGATATAGTAAATTGCTCTGTTTGTGCCATAATACAATCTCAGAGAGAGAAAAAAATTGGACTGCACAATTTGTAACAAAAAAAAGTCCAACACAAAAGAGTTTGCCTGTTATCCAGAGAGTGGCCAAGCCTAGGCATTTCATTATTATTTTTTTTTTATACATTCTTTTTTTTTGATATTTTAAAGAGGCAAGGCCCAATCACTCTCTTTTTCCATGTTTTCCATGAAAAACCTCAATCTGAGTCCTGATTATTTTTGCTTTATTGCAGTAGTGCCGTCAAGCCCTACCATGGCAGCCTCTTCGGTCACCCTCCCTTCAAACTGTAGCAGTACACACGGCATTTTCTCATTCTCACCTGCCAATGTCATCTCTGCAGTGAAACAAAAGAGCGCCTTTGCTCCCGTTGTCAGGCCCCAAGCCTCTCCTCCACCATCTTGCACCAGTGCAAATGGAAATGGACTTCAAGGTGAGCTGGATCTCTCATTTTTTTTGTGTATTGCTTTTCAGTGCATACACTAAAACCCCAGTTGTGCCTTTTTGGAGAAAGGCTTTTTAAATCAGCTTTGACTGATTTGTAGGGAAAAAACCAAAACAAAAATGAGAGAGAGGGAGAGAGAGAGAGAGAAAACATTCTTAGTGTCCTGGTCCTGTAATATAGATGCAAAAATATCACTATATCAACAGTAGCACAAACAATATGCTAACATTTTAAGCAATTCTTAGTTTGATTTTAATATGCACATTAGATGCAATACTAACTGTTTTCCTGGCTTTTCCCTTATGGTTTCAATGCATTAAATTTTAAACTAAATCCACATCCCTGAATGCTCCTTACAGACTTGTGTACTCCTTGCATTTCTTTATACATGCTCTGCATACATTTTTGATAGACATTTTTAAAGGCAGTATTACAGCATAACCTGGTACATTTCCCCTATCTTTACACACAATGTAATTGCCATTTTAAAACATGTCAAAAGAATACAAATGGGTTGAAACTGTTGCTCAATAAGTTGACCTTCTCTGGGACTGACTAGCCAGATGTTCAGCCAGTTTGTATGTCCTGTTGGACTTCACTGGCTTCTTATTAATTACATTAAACTAGCTGCAAGACTTGGCTGTATTTGAAAACGTAAGGTTTTTAATCAGGCAACTCTAAGTTTCTGTCTTTTTTCCTTTTTTTGTCTGTGGGATTTTTGTGTGGGTACTAAAAAGGGCATTTTATAAATCAGTTGTAGGATTTATATGGTCACCTGCTGGTATCAGGGCAGAATTATGGCGCAATGCAAATTTATGGGAGGAATAAAAACATTCACAAAGGGGTCTCCCTTTTTATTACATTCTTTAAAGTGTGGAAGATGAGTAATGCCTGATTAATTAGAACAGTTCAAAAGGTTTGGTTGCCTACGTGTTTTAAATATAGGGCCTAATTCTGCGGTGTGCTCAATTGAAACCTTTTATTTCCCACTGAAATTAGGCACTGAGACTTCCCAGTCTAAGCTACATTTTCTTAATGAAAACTTTTATTTTTATTTACTCTTTACGTTGCAGTAGTTCTTCAGTATATCAGGTACTTGCCAAATACCAATGAAGACATGGACATTTAAAAAAAAAAGGTATTAGGAATTCTGGATGCTTGACTTTTTGGTCATCCAACTTGAAACATTCAAAGGGGCTCAATTTGCAGAAGTATCTGCCTACTTAAAATCATGATCCTTTCAGATGTGTCAAGGTTGCATTCCTAATGAGGCACATAAACTACTAAACACTTCTGAAACTACTGGCCCTGCCCCAGTGAACATGCAGTCTAAGACCTGATACTGGAGCCAGATCCAGGCAGGCCCAAGGGTCCTTCTGTATAAATATATATATTTTAGGTATTTTAGATGAATTGTTAGTGTGCCAAAAGTAAATAAAAACCGTGCCAGATGGAATCTATATTTTTTGGATTCTTTCAATTGATTTATAAGCTCTTCCAAAACAAAGCAAAAGTAAAACTTAAGCACTAAATTAAACTACAGCAAGATACACAGAAAATTATACTGTATTTGTGCACCTGTCCTTCATACAATGTTTTATTTATAATATTTCCTATATGGATGTTTATATCTATTTACCCACATAATAATATAATTTTAAAATATAAACTTAAATTAGCTGTATAATTTCTGGATCATTTCACATGATTTCATAATGTCATGTGATCATCATTATGTATACTACATAATAATAACATGCATAATTTCAATATGACAATAAAAGAGCTTCCCTAATAAACCCTTCCCATTGGCAAAAGCTCAGGTATGAAAGGTATATAGATGCCTAAAGGTGTAGAAAGCCACAAAATGGAATATTTAAAAAGTAGTAAAATGGGACTTAGGCAGTGACCTTCTTAGGCACTTTTGAAGTCCTGCTACGTAGCAGCCTATTTCTTTAGGTCCCTGAATGTGCTAAAAGTTTGTTCTAAAGGAATACCATATTTGATAATGATAACACCATGGGTCAGCAGACTCTGGTTTTATCAAAACACAGAAGCAAGCTCCTAACTTGAGGGCTAACACTGTACAGGAATGTACAGTGCCAAAGCTGAAGGCCTGAGAACCACTTGCTCTATTCTGAGGAATTAAGCAGGACTTAAGTAGTGCACAGGACTCATAGTGTCATCTGGCATCTAAAATTAATTTCATTCTGCATGTGCTACTCCTGTGTAAGACTAAGTAGTCCCAGTTTGTACTTTCCAGCAGATCTCTACTATTCCACTAAAGCAAAAAAACAAGAGGGGGCCCTTTGATAGCCATCATCCAAACTGATATATTTTATTAAACCAACTGAAATAGTTGGAAAAAACTTTTTAGCAACCTTTCTATAAAAAAAATAGGGTTTTTCCCCCCCAACTATTTAAGTTGGTCTAATAAAAGATATCAGATTCACCCAAAGAACCTTGAATGCCTATGTCCTTAGACCAACACGGCTACAAGCTACACCCCTGTATACACACACACACACATACACCCACACACACAAAATTTAAAATGTGAACGTTTTATGTATTTCTTTGCAAATTTAAAAATAAACAATGTATTTTATGATGAATGCATTGTGGCATTTGATATGAAATTTTGGGCTACTTTTAAAAAAAAATAAAGGAAACCAAAAACTGGATTAACAACATTGACACAGGTGGCAATACCTCTTTTTATCCAATAACTCAGTGGTTCAAGCACCTGCCCAGTGGAAGACCGGATTCAATTCCCTCCTTTGCCTGAGGACAGTTGAACCCACATGTACCTCACCTTTTTGGCGCGTGCCTACCCGTCATGCTGCAAGGCACTCTGAGCGGGGTTGTTCTTAGCTGTTGATGCTGTTGTACTTTGCATGGATAAGCAGATGTTCACTGGACTAGGGACTGGAAACATGAGTGTTGTAACCACTAAGCCAGAATGTCACTTTCACTCTCTCAGGCTTAGTGACTATTGAAGAGGGTTTTTTTGGATTTTTTTTTATAAAACAGAATGGCATCAGCAGAAGGGAGTAAGATAAACCTACCCCAGAATACTGTGCAGTTCAGTGATCAGGACACTCTTCTTGGTGTGGGAGACCTTGGTTCAGGCTCCTGCTTTGAGTCAGACAGATACTGAAGCTGAATTTGGTCTTCCAACTCTCAGGAGAATGTCCCACCCATTGGGTGACTTTGTATTCTGAATTAAAGATCCTTTAATCCCTCTGTTGGAACTTCAACCTCGTGAAAAGAACACAGGCTTCCCTCGCTTGATGCTGTACGTGCATTCCTGGAAAATGGCGCATAACTCAAATTCGCATAAAGGCCCTTTACTATGCAACAAATAGGGATATGTTCCAAGACCTTGACTGTACTGACCCCCAGACCCATGTCTACCACTTTTACAACACAATTTTGGTACTTACCAACAACAGACAGTACACACAAGCACAAGACACTATCATAATTGGGTTGGCAACTACAGAAACACGTGTCACAGACAACAAGCAAGGAGCACAGATCCACACAGGAGACTATATTTTGGTGCACGTCACTCCCACAACACATCGCACAAAGTAGCTGATTGTGGGCTTCCACCACACCAATCGCATAAGAGTGAATTTACTTTGCAAATAACACATTTTTGGTATAAAAAGGGTTATCACATAAGAGTGAATTCGCACATACTAAACCTGCATAAAGTGAGGGAAACCTGTACTTAAAAATTCACTCAGTGCAGTTGTTAGGGCACTAGAAGGAGACAGATGCAGTTCAGTTCATCTCAGGCAAATGGAAGGATTGAATCTTGGTCCCCGACATGCCCTAATTAATATCACAATGGTGAGGGACCTCATGAATTTTTTTCCAGCCAAAATTTCTCACCAAATTTGACCAGGAATTAACAGTTTTGGAATGAAAAAAAAAATCATCCAGCTCTATTTACAGCTCAAAACCAGCTTCTTGATTGAATTGCAATGAGAAAAGAATGAGAAGCCAGTGTATTCTGTGAAGTGAATGCATTATATGCTTTGCTTAAGAAGTAGAAAGTAAACCCTATATGATCTATTTATTTACACAGTCTGTTTTTTTCTGAACAGTTAGTAGGGAGAATTCTGGCTCCTTTTTTGTGTTTAATCATCATTTGTTGACATCGAGTCAGTTTTTAAAGTTTAATTAGTTTCTTAGTTAATATTCTCTCTACAGGCACTTAGAGAGTGTTCTTATCACATTTTAATAAACTGAAATAAAATTGAGAATTCACTGGGTGCAGTTTACAGTAGTTGATGTTTTTGAATGACTTTTGTGTTGTGTGTATTCGAGGTGAAAAGGGCATGAATAATGGTTGGATATCTATATCCATTTTGAAAGGTCACACAAATATAGTCAGATGATGTCAGAAATGAGGACTCTTGGGCACTATTGCTTACATGGACATCCAGGATAACCCATCAGTTCAAAAGACCAAACCTGAGTAATAGAAGCAGCACGTTTCTGTAGCTGAAAGGACAAGTATCATGTCTGCCATCTCTTTGACATGCTTGTTTCGTCCTGCAAAGCCTCGTCTGGAATAAGACCCAATAGCTAGCTCCTATCCAGTGCTGGAAAAGGAAACCTCTGAGACCAAGATCAACACTTCACCAAAATAACCAACCAACAAATTGCCTCAGCCTTCTTATGAAAT